TTTTACATACTAATTGTTTATAGTGCTTTAATCCATACCATAATTTTTCCCCCCCACAATTGCTGCAATTGCCTTGGGTGCTCACATTTGGTTTGTCTACATTTCCTGAATATTTTCACTCATCTTCTAGATTATACACTGCCGATTTGTTCAGTTTTCTACTGCTATGGTTAGTCTTCTTTATGGAAGAGTTTGGAGGGCCATTAATGAAAAATAAGTTTGGATTCTGCATATTCTACTTTGGTTTTATTATGACTTACGTTGGAGGAATGATTTGTTCACATCTTGTCAACTTATCTTTGCTTCTTGGTGCTGTGATGTCATGGGGTACATGTGGCCGTTGATCGGGGGACTAAAAGGAGAATGGTTTACTGAAAATTTACCAGAGCATATAGAGAGTCTGAATGGATATAGGGTCTTAAGTGAGCTGTAATTTATGACTATAAAATATGACATTTTCCTAAGATTCAAGCCTGATTTCTTATCTATTTTCTTGCTGCCAGTTTTCATATCCATTGCCTTGATACTTTATTACACTGCTGCAAATATCATTCTTAATGAAATGGAGGAGCATTAAAGAAACACGCCTCCTCAAAAAAAAAAAAAATAGAAAATACTCATGGAGCTGAGTTGGGAGACATGCAGGATGAGCACAGGAACCAATATAGGGGGCAAAATTGAAAATATAACATGAAGTGAGGGCTCAAAATCCATTTTAATGCTTCTTGCAAATAAAAGTTCTAATTTTTTTCAAAGACTAATAGGAGGGTAGGGCGCAATGCCCCCTTGCCTCCCTCTAGATCCGTCCGGGAGGATGAGATTTAATGATGAGTTGTGTGGATGATGATGATAAAATTATAAGTTGTGGAATGATTAGGGAATTGGTTTTAAATGAATTAAAAATACAAGATTGAGTTGCACTGAATTAAGTTTGAAAGATTGAGATTTAAGTGAGTCAAAACTATAAAAATTAAAAAATTGATGTTCTCTTTTTTATATATATATATATATATTTATAATGGCCATTATTTACCTGAGCCACACAGGAATTGGTTATTAGAATATATTGCCAGGAATGGTACTTTTTGTTACCATTTTTGAACTTCACTTTTTGATATTTCTCATCCTCACTTTTCAACTGTGTTCTTTTTAACTCTTAACAATCTAAAAAATGAAGCTTCTCATCAAAGTACACTTAAGTGGAGAATCCAGGTAGTTAATCCTTTATTCTTCATAAACTATTTCCTGAACAAGATCAATCAAAATCAAACTCCACTAAAAACTTCAACATCAGGGGCGGAACCAGAGGGCCAAATTTTTTAATTTAATAAATATTATTAATTTAAGAAATTGAAAACTAATTAATTAAATACTAATAAAGAAAATTTTTAATATTTAAACTTACATTCACAATTTTATAAGAGGCAAAAATATATGCATGCACATACATACATACATACATATATTAAATGCAGGCATGAATCAAATAAAAAGTGGGTTTTAATATTTTTCTTTTTATATGGTTCATGTTGGTGTTTTGAGTGTACACACACACATATTTTTAAGGAAAAGGATGGAACTTTTTTTTTTTTTTTTTTGGGATGGGGGGCCTTCCATCGTCAACGAAGTTCTGCCCCCATTCCACGTTTAAATCTATCCAACTAGTACAGATAAAGAAATCAGTTGCTGGATAAATCAATGTTTCATGTGTTTTATAATTCGTGTACAGGAAAAGAATATTTCCTTTATGGTAACGTAGTTCTACCCCTGTTCCACATTTAAATCTATCCAACTAGTACAGATAAAGAAATCAATGTTTCATGTGTGTTATAATTCATATACAGAAAAAGAATATTTCCTTTATGGTTTTCTATAAAACCATATATGCTACTCAGTAGCATCAATTAATGTGGTTTACTACATTTATTAATTATTGAATTGCATAAAAATAAAATGAAATGCTAACACCCATTATTATCAAATTCTTAAGTTGGTTTTACAAGTTTATCATTTTTATGTTTTTATCTCATAAAATTGTATTAATTTGCTCATGAAATCGAACTAGATAAAACTCGGTTAAATTTGATAATTAACTCTCCGAGTTTACTAACTTATAAAATTATGCTAATATGCTCATAAACTCATTGAACAAGATAGATATATAATTTATAAAACTTGATTCTAAGAAGCAGTAAGATCTAGTTCAATAAAAAAAACTAAAAAAACTAATATTGATAAAATAGAAAAAAAAAATATCAAAAAGAAGTTTCTCTATTTTGAAATTTTTACGTTGAGTAAAATAATCTATGAATGTAGATGGATTTAATTTTAATGACTTATATTTGAAATATATTTAAATTAACTTATAGCCATATTTTACATTTTAACTATTTAATCAAATACTTTTAAATGTTATTTATTAATAGAGGTAAATTGTTATAAGTTCATGATTCGAACTTACATTTTGAGTTTACATTTCTATTATGAGTTTATTTAAAATTGTGAGTTTAACAATCTTGCTAACACTGATATTTTCTGGTGGCACATTAGGTCGTGAGTATGCTCCTGAGAGGTGCCTTCATCTTCAATATTATTTTCTGCTCCTTTTGCCTTTTCATGTGTGTTTGGACTTGAAAGACGGAAATGGCAAATCCCTTTGCTCTTCATTTCTTCCGGTTTTTTTTTTTTGGACCTTTATTTATTAATGTCTATGCTTTCTTCAAAAAAAAAAAAAAAACGGTAATACTCCCTTGCCGGTACCATGATTTAGACAGTGTTCACATTTTCTATCTTGAATTAGGGAACCAAACTTGGTTATGCTTGTAAATTAATGGTTTACTGGTTTCACTATATGCGATAGGTCTCATGAAAGTAGAGTGATACAAATAGATTATTTTATTCAAAATAAAATTAATATTTAAAAAGTTTTGTGAAAAAAAAATTAAAGAAAAAGATGGGGTTTATATTTTTCTATTTGAAATAGAAGAGTTGGGTTGAGTTCAAACATAAATATGATTAATATGATTGTGTCAAACATCAATTACTAAGCATTAAAGTATGTCCTTTTGTAGACACTAACTTTGAAGACTTGAAAAGAGTTCTTCATGTTTGTTTAATTTAATACACAAGATGGAGGTTACTAAGTTGGTATGTGTAAGAAATATGTGATTGTATACTTGCAATTGTAGATGAAACTTGTACTAAGTTTCATTTATGTAAAAGCAAAGATGATGGTTGATTTAATTGTAGTTTGAATAGCTGTGTTTTTCCTTTTTGTTTATTTACTAATTTACAACTCTTTATTTGTTATGATTATTTTTATTCTCAGGTGTATATTTTATATATAAGTTGAATCAATTAATATTGCTTTAAAATAATTTTCGCTATGCTTCATTGTTATTGATCTCATTTGCTTGGCTTATCTAAAATTTGTTAAGTAGATTTGTTGGCTAAGAATTATGTTATAATGTCCATATTATCAAAAAGGCAATGAGACACTTTTTGTTTATTTACTAGTCATATTATCATATTTGATTTTTTAAAAAAATTATGTTTGGTTTTATAATTTTTTATGCATCAATTTTCCTAGTTTATTTTTATTATTATATTTAAAGTTACTATGCCAATTTTCATGATAAAAGAATGCCTAGTAAATTTTTTTTTTTTGAGTCACTTATAAGTGATTTCTCATAATAGTTTTATGAAAATAAACAATTACAATTGTATATGCCGTCGATCATTATTTATTAACTTAAAAATTATAATATGAATTTTGTCATTGAGGAAAATTAAGAAATGCTTTGAATTTACAAATTTTTTGTTTAGAAATTTTCACATGGCGGAGGAAGTTATATTCTTTAAAAAAGTTGAATAAAAAAATAACATCAATCTTTTTATTTGTTTTTATACTTTTTCAATATTTCACTACATAATTATAGTCTAAAGGCATTGAAGAGAAATTTTTATATGAACTATTGCACCATATCATTTATAGACTATTCAATAAAATTAAACCATTTCAACCAAATAAAAGTTAACATGCATTATTTCTAATGATTTTGTTTTTTGGAATAAGGTGTCTTTTTAATCTCTTGCATTTTCTTTTCCTATTATCATCCATGGAAAAATCTATTTATATTTATAGTCAACATGATATGTTTTTATTGAATAATTTACAAATGACTTGATACATTAGGTCTATGCAAAAATTTCTTAGACATTGAATAACTTATTAGATACTTTACCAACGAAATAAACATTAACTATTATAAGTTCCTCAATAACTGTAAATAGTTTGGTCAAATGCAAATGACTTTATATACAAAAGCCTAAACATACTATTCCATGACAAAAGTAATAAAAGCATCTTTAAGAACAATTAATATTATATTTCAAGAGATATTTGAGAACATTCAAAATAGGCTATAATTTTTTTTTTTCGTGTTATACTTCACACTAATTAGTGTGGTCACATGTAAATGACTTTTTACACAAAAGCCTAAAAATACCAATCCATAACAAAATTAATAAAAGCATCTTCAAGAACAACTAATATTATGTTTTAAGAGATACTTGAGAATATTAAAAATGAGTTATAATTCTTCTTTGTGTTATACTTTACACTAATTATTTGTATAAACTTTTATTTATGGTTTGTATTTCCCCATCAAAATTAATTACAACTATATCATTGACATTTATCATTCGTTCAATTAGTCACAAATTAATAGAATCCAACTAAAGAACACAATTAGTTAAAAAAAATTAAATAATGCATCAAAGTTGCTGATTTCAAATACATTGTATGTAAGAACAATGATACTAATCAATATGTAAAAACAATGATACTCTAAGTATAGTTTATCCTACAAAAAAATAACTTTAGATATACATGTAAACAAATTAATTAGATGATATCTCCGCCGTGTACGAGACACTAGTCGATGATTGATGATTACATATAAATCCCCCGCCAAAACTAGTTCATTGATATCTAAGCATTTACTATACAACAAATATGGTTTTCTATGTAAAGGTGAACCGCCAAAAAATGTGCCCTGTCAATTTCAAATAACATAACAGAACCACACCCATGGTCCACTCTTGGTCCTCTATCAATGTCATTGATATATATATATATATATATCTGCAGCATTTAGTATTAGAAAAACTTCTTGGAAAGAACCGAAAGAACAAAGGCTGTAATGGCAGATGTGAGAAAGACCTTGACTCCAAAACATGCTTTGAGCGAGAGACGGAACCATCCGAGCACATTAGCAATGCCTTTTTGTGGCCTAAGTTGAAGAGGAACAATGCCACCAGTCCCGCAAGGAAGATGATGCACAAGTATTATTGTCAACGCCGATCCCAAAATGGCAGCAGCGACAGAGACAACTAAATAGGGCAGGCCATATCTCTCCTAGAAAACCCAAGTATGATTAAATTCATTGTATACAGATCCAATCATATTCCGGACACAAAACGAAAATACACTTACATGAAAGCGTCCAGGCAAAGCCACAAAGCAGAGATCTGTATCATCATAGCACTTAATTGACATGGCCACACGAGGACGATGGGAACTGTTAGCTTTCTCAAATTCAATTCCTCCATCAGTATAACGGGGGTAAGAACCCTTCATTTCCTGTCCATAAGAAGAAAAAAATGTCATGGCACTACTAAGATTGGCTAATACCCCCTATGATTACCAAGGCAATTGGCATAAAGAAAGGACTTGAGGTATGCTGGAACAATGGTTTTCACCTTGCTGACATCCAATGTGACTGTGTGGGAGCCATCAATCTTCTTACAAGAGAACTAATCACAAGGCATCCTAATGTTTTAGCTAAGAGTTGAGCCAGGAAAGATCATGATCTTGTTACTGAGTTTTTAACCTTTGATCGTTACCCACCTCCATGATTGGAGGAGGCAAATGATGAAAGATAATTGGTGACTATTTTTATATATTGTAGTGTATTCCTTGTACCTTTTCTTCAGTGAATGAAAGTATTTCAGTGTTTTTTTTCTTAAAAAAAAAAATAATAATAAGAGCATAAGAGTAATACCATAGCTGAGATGCTTTTAAAAGGAATTTTTACTTTGAGATCAGCAGCACCCACAAACCCATGAACAGAATCCGCATCCCCATTAACAGCATCCATTAAGATTCCTGCAAGACACCCCAAAAAAAAAAAAAAACATCAGTTAGGAATTAAAGGTCTCTGGGGACAAAAGAATACAAAAAGTATTCTTACCTTTCATTGTGGTAGAAAATATTAAGGATGAACCAAGGGCAACAGCCCATCCCAAAGCAACATCAGTGGCTCTGCCATCAACATCCTGTATTCTGAGATAGTTAACTCTAGCAGTAGAAAGTGATTCAATTCAACAGTATAGCTATGAAGAAGAGGGAAAGAGAGATCACCTGGTGGACTGCATAACAATGACTAATTCCAGCGTCATTTATCTCTTTGCCTTGGACATACATTCTCCTCACAGAGGGAGCCATTCCCTTTGGACAGACAGCAATCACACCGATGTTCTTTGGAAAATCAAGTCCCAGCGACTGGAAATACTCGACGAGAAATCCATGAGGCAGCCCAAGTATGCTTCCTGGCTTCATGTGGGACAACACTTTTTCATAGCCTTCTACCTGCAACATAAGGACGTGTTTAGCGACAAAAAGAAACTATTGGCCAAGGGAGGGAGGTGAGACTCAAAATACCAAGAAAACTCCAAAACCACCAGTAGCATCACACATAATCTGCCTATTTTTATCCAAAATTTAACACTCAAGGTATCTCTAATGAAATTCAGATAATATACAGTCACTGGCTAGAAAATGTTACACTACATCAACAAATTCAACCTGAAAAGAGGTTCAAAATCTAGTGAAACTGACTTTTATTATCCTGTTGAACTGCAAAATATAAAGAAGTTTATGTGCAAAACCTTCAACAAAAGCTATCTCATTAGGAGTATGAGAATATTTTAAATCCCCATCATTATGAATGATAAGTTTCGACTAGCTACAGTAAAAGTTATTTTTTTTCTTTAGAATTAGCCACAAAAACCTCAAATACATACTATTTGATTTGTTTACTCATTCTTTCCCACTACATTACTTAATAATTTTATGCAGAGTTTAAACAGTCAATGCCATGAGTAGAAGAGTGTGAAAGAAAAACTGGACAACAATAAAAAATTTTACAACATAAAGCTATGGACATCAAACAACATCAGATGCACATCAATAAAATCTTTGGAGCATTTATTTGACTTGAATTTACAAACCTGTTCAACAATAGAATTCAACATCAATACAAGATCACTGTTAGCGATAAACTGTATCTCATGAGCTAGAGTCCCATTCTCCTCAGTAAAACCAAGTTCTTGAGCTTCAGCATAGAATCTGGAGCCTTTCTCAAGTAGCAGCAACTGTATAAGGAAGTTGGATTTGAGAAGACATCATTTATCAAATTTTAAAAGTAACCTCCTCAAAGATAAAAATCTATATAAACTTTAAAAAGGAAATCCCACCAAGACTTTAATAGAAGGCTTCACTTCAAGGAGTGAGCTCTGCAATTTCAGGGCCTGAGCTTGTGCCTGGTATGTGTAATGCAAAGTTAGTAAACACATCAAACTCATGACTGTGACACTGCAGAAGCTATGTTTTCAGCAATCAGTCAAAAAATAAGAAGCCATATTTCCCTAAGGCATTTATATGATATTATCTATTTTAACTTAGAGCTAAGAAAAATCGATATCTGGGTGAAACATCAACCGGTTCACATTGTTAATCGACCCTAGCTTTCCTTAAGGAAAGATGCGCAGCCCATTCAATGACAGTATTTGAGAAAAATCACCAGGTCGGTCCCTCCAAGGACAACTATCTCCTTCATATTCCCGAAAGCATGCTGCACCTGCAGACCCTTTACCGATTCTTCCTGTCCCACGAAGACGAGCTACAGCAATACAGAACAGCCAAAAAAAAGTCAATTTCCATCAAACGCTTCCTGGATCCGACAATAAACAAGGTTCAATGTAGCTGGTAATGAGGGAAGACAAAATAGATGAGAGATTTTGAAGAATCCCAGAGAAATTAGAAGAAAATACCTCTTCTCGTCCTGTATGCTCATTCTGGAAGGAAAAAGTCTGGAAACAAGGAGACGCAGGGGTCTTTATCGTCGGAGCCAAAACCACTGGACTTCCGGTTCGGAAAGCTAAACCACCGGGGAATTGTTTATGCGGGAGAGGGGAGAGAGAAAATCCTGGCGTCGCGGATGGACGGCTGCAGTTAAGAAAATTGGAAACAGCAAATTTATTAAAGAAGGAATGAGCTGTAGCCGCCATTTTTCTCCGAGCACAAGGCACAAGGCACAACCACGAGAGCGCACTTTGCAGTAGAATAGAGGAAGCGAGTTAATATGACTCGGAACCCGACTTCCATTTGGAATCTTCGATAGCTGACCCAAAAAAAAAAAAAAAGAATCTTGGATGTCAGATTCAGAAACTTAGATTCTTTACACGATTCTAGTGCGGTCCCCACTCCACAGTGAACCAGCCGCGTAATTTGATGAGGTAACCGTTAACCGTTAACTTCACCTTTATCTTTATCTCTGAAATCAAAAGGAAACGAAAAGCAACTTTTTATCTTGAAGGTCTGTGAAAGAGATCGGAGTATTCAGAATTATGTTCCCAATATTAGGATCATAGTAGAATTCTTAACCAGAGGAGTGTTACAAACTACTGGATTCCAAGGGATATTAGAATTCGGAATGAGGTCTGCTACATAACCCTTGTATTAGAGCTGGTTTGCCCCTGTTCCTTTTTACCGTCCATTTTATCCGTTGTGATCTAGCAACTGAAATTTTTACCTAACGAAAGACAGATAATTCTTTTTGCCAGTTTAATCCGGTAGAAAAGGAATCAGATTGTTCAACAGGGAATTCAGACTTCGCCAGAACAATTAATTCAAGAACATCAGGGATTGGTCAAAATACCTGGATATTATGAAATTTGAAATTTCCAAGCAGAGATGTAGCCCAACTCAATTCCAAGTTGAACAGCGCACGGATGAAAAATGGAAGATTTGGATTAAAAGAGCAGCGCAGAAGAACAGAGAATGGAATGCTAATAAAATCTGCCTCCAAGAGTTCCGCGGAAAAACTTTTGTTTATTATTATTTTTTGTTTATTTTTTTGCTGCAAGAAAACTTTTGTTTATCTTACTTGTGATGGTAATTTTACTGTGAGTGGATAACAGCGACCATCAGACCTTTGGCTCCGAGCTGAGGTTGTCTTTTCCTTTTCCTTTTTCTTTTTATTGTTCTTTTATTTTTAATTATATATTTTTATTTTTATTACACAAAAAAAAAAATTTTGACCATATAAATGGAAAAAATACATCTTTGCCCCAATACATCGAATTAGTCCCTGTGTATCACAGGGGATGTTTTAGTATCTGAAAGATTCAAAAAACAAAGTTAAATGAATTTTTAATTTATATAAATTTAAATTTAATCTAAATAACAACTCATTATATTTTAAACTTTATTTTACACATACATATTAAAAATATAAATAATAATTATTTTATTTTAAATATATTGCCCCATGATGAATTTGCTAGCTCCACGCATATGCTCTTACTTTGGTTAGTATGAGAAAAACTTTAAAATTAGGCTAAAAGATAAACTTACTAAATTATGCTCCCCAAAATTAATTAAAGAAGAAAATTGGCTCTCAACAAATATTCCTAGATCTCTCACCTGTTGCTTGTGTAAATTAAAATCACATAAACAACTTTTATTATGCATTATGTTACGCTTATGCATATTGAAAATACAAATAATTTTTAATTTTCACTTCTTCTAAATTAAAAATAAAATTAGACTAATCTCTTTCCATATTTTTGAAGGAAAGTAATATATATATAAATAAAATAAAAGTAGTCTAATTACAATAAATAAAAAAATATTTTTGAGCAACATGGTGAGAAACTAAAGAGGAAAAAGCAATAGTATTAAGACAAATTAAATATATCTTACGATAAGCTATATATTATAATTCGTATAATTCGTATGATAACTAGATATTACACTGATGCATCGCACATAACATTAATTTTTTCTTTGATTTTAGGGAAATTGATGAGAATGAAATGGAGAAAATATTTTAATGATTTTGATCCAAAAAAAATATACAAATAATGTTATAAAATTTTATGAAATTGGCATTATATCTTCTCTCATAATTAATGTGTTTAAATAGTACGGCTTCCTATAATAGAGATTAGAGAGACAGTAAAATAAGGTATAATTGAAAAAATATATATATAAAAAATACCCAATACTTTAACTTTTAAATCAAGCAAACTTTTAGAAAATAACATATATTATGGTTTGAAAGGAGTATAAATTAAAAAAATTTGTATGTTCATTTTTTATTATGGCCCCATATCCCACATTTTTTTAATGTGAACTCCACAACTCCCACCTTTTCAAACTATATAAATTTAAAAAAAACTAAAAAATTTTCAAAATGGTACTATAGAATTATAGTACCATTTTGATGACAATCACAGTAAGTAAAGATAATATTTACTCTCCCAATGTGATAAATTAAAGTTTGAATTCTTATCATGAGAAATGTTCACATACTTCAAATATAATTGCTTTCAATAATATATATATATATATATATATAAAAGCAATCAAATAATAATAACAACATTAATAATAAATCACAATTTAGCCAAAAATAAAAATAAAAATAAAAAGTTGTATGTGTGTTTGTAATAATTTTAAATTAAACAAATAGCATAATTGATATTATAACATATCATATATATATATATATATATACACATACACACACATATATACATATACATGCAATGAAAAATAACTTTATTAACGTCATATAAAACCTAAAACATATAATTGCAAGGAGACTTTCTCAAAATTTCTAACTCATAATCTACTTTTTATATATTAATCAGGGCCTTTTTTTAGCTTATTTCATGAAAATCACTTATTTTTTGAAAAAACGTATTTTATGATATTTATTTAAACTTTTAAAAATAATCAAAATTTGAAAGAAAAGCATATTTCTAGTTATTTTAAGAATTCTAAAAATAATCTATGGTAAACAAGAGAGAGTGTTTTAAATATGTGAGATAGACGAAGATATCATAAAATTTTAAATTAAACAAATAGCATAATTGATATTATAACATATCATATATATATATATATATATGCAATGAAAAATAACTTTATCAACATCATATAAAACCTAAAGCATATAATTGCAAGAAGGCTTTTTCAAAATTTTTAACTCATAATCTACTTTTTATATATTAATCAGGGCTCATTTTTTTAAGCTTATTTCATGAAAATCACTTTTTTAAAAAAAATATTTTATGAGTTTTTATTATATTTTTTTAAACTTTTAAAAATAATTAGAATTCAAAAGAAAAGCATATTTCTAATTATTTTAAGAATTCTAAAAATAATCTAACATGATAAACGAGAAAGAGTGTTTTAAAGAGGTGAGATAGGTGAAGATATCATAAAATTTTAAAATGATATAATAAAAAATTATTTTTATAAAACAAAAATTAAAGAAGATATTATAAAATTTAAAAATAACTAACTAATAATTACTTTATTATTATAATCAAACATAAAATAATGTTTTTTTTTATAAAATCTCTAAAAAATGTTGGATAGGCTAACGCTCAAGGGATGGATAAATTGAATGACACTTAATAATTTTTAAAAATTTAAAGAGTGAAAACTTTTAGTGAAAAGGAAGAAGATGAAACACACAAATTTTGTCTTGTTTCAGCCCCAAACTTGGCCTACGTACGGTTCTCAAGGTCACACTTGAGATTTCTAACTAAAATACAAGTTTTAACGGGTGTTTACCACTACAGTATAATTCACAAGACTTAACTTGTCTTGATTCACTCAACAATCCTTGCCATAATCTAACAAATTGTTACAAACACGTAAAAAACTCTTTTTTAAGATTTCAGAAGTAAAAAACAAACTTTCACAAAAAAACTATCCCAAAGAGTGGATAGATTATAAATGAAAGATTATAAACTTGTGGGAGCTTTTTCACAATTCTTTTTGAAAATGATGAATGAATGTTAAATGTTTAAGCATATTTTGAAAGTTTTTTAAATGCTAAAAAAAAAAGTTTGCTCAAGGATCAAAAGTTCTGTTTTAGACTTGAATTGTATCACATATATAGTTTTAGCAATTGACAGACTGTTGGAACAGTGTTACTGGCTGTTGGTGTTATTTCTTGCATGCATCCTGACATATCACCCGTGAAATGGCTTGTATCAAAGTTCCATATACGAATATGCGAAAAATCAGGCTTGAACCTTAGGGTGTCTCATGTATGGTTTAGAGTATATGGATAAGCAATAAATTATGTGTGCAAAAACTCGCGTGAGACCCTCTTGCTCTCACATGTGGTTTGGCTAACAGAAAGCCAAAACTAGTTATATGTGATAAAACTTATGTGTGACCAAATTGTCTTCATGTGTGATTTGGCTAACAGTTAAGCCAAATCTATGTGATAGAACTTGCGTAAAAATATCATGCTCTCACGTGTGGTTTGGTTGGGAAAATGCTAAAGCCAATTTTGTGTAATAAATATCGCATGAAAGCAATAGACTATCACAATGGCTTACTTCAAACCCAGACCATTTGGGAAGACAAATCATGTATGGAACATAACAATACTCACACATGAAATGAAAAGTCACAAAACTTAAACCATTCTAGGAAACATATCATGTGTGGTACCACTATGCACTCAAGCAAGATTTTGCATGATCAAGAAATATGAAATTGTGAATCATAGATCATGCAAGGGTAGAAATTGAACTAGACTTGAGATGACTTAAGAATTAATATGGCAAGATGTGTTCAAAGAAACTAATGACAAATCATGTATAATTACCATTTGCTCTTATGTGTGAAATGGCTCTTGACAAAATGCAATGAAACATAATTGACAAAACTTGCATGCTGACCATAGGGTAGCTTGCATGATTCAAAACACAAAAGTAATGTTAAGGCATCATACAAACATAAATGATAAATCATGGATCACTTCTTGATTCTTGTGTAAATGTCAATTAGTGTGCCTAACATGCTAAATCATTTGTGTGACCATATAGAATCATGCGTGATTCTATAGTCAGTGAAAAGCCAAACTTTTATGAACTACTACAAGCTAAAATGACATGACTTGCAAGCTTGAATGTTCTAAGATGAGTCTTAATGTGCATAATTGAGACTTATGAGCTAAAGATGATGCATTTATTTCAATGATAATAATATGTGATTAAGCTCTCAAAATTTTCATATTGAACTAAGAGAATTAAACAACTTATCTCATAAATCTTCATTTTCTCTTGGTTCTTCATGTTTTTGAAGTTTTGTCTGCATTTATGATTTTTTATTTATCTACATACATAATAAACACTTTTTCTCTTGGTTTTCTAATTATCAAAAGATATGATCCAACACAAAATAAATCT